CACCCCTGCCGCCAGCACACCCTGATGTGGGATCCTCTCAGCACCTCCCTGTCCCTGGCTGCACTGAAAACGCTTAGGACAGACACCAGACCTCCCTCCTGCCTCCTCCAGCCCCAAAGCACTCCTCCCAGAGCCTGCAGGCCTATCTGTCCAGCTTCCGGAGCCCCACAACCACGCACCTGCCACACTTGTTCCCGAGAGCCTGGAAGGAATTGTCCCTAAGCCGGAAGGTCATGCGTTCACTGGACGGACAGGTACGAGAAAGCCCATGGCTCTACGTGGAGCTGCTGGAGTCCTGCCACCGGGCGCACCGGCACGAAGGTTCCAGGACCTGCCAGGCCACAGATCCTCCGCTTCCTGGACATGGGCACGTGAAGAACCATTCCCTGAGACATGTCACAAGACAAGACGTCACCCGGTATATTCATTTTCAGTTGCTGCTCTCACAAACTATCACAGACCAGACGGCGTCACACAATACAAATTTATCACCTTACAGTTCCGGAGCCAGAAGTAACAAAGGGGTCTCACTGGGCTAAAAGCAAGATGTTTACAGGTCTCATTCTCTCGGGCACTTCCAGGGCACAATGTGTTTCCTCGTGTTTCCCAGTTTCTGGAGGCTGCCCACGCTCCTTGGCCTCTGGCCCCTTCCACCGTCAAAGCCAGCAGTGGCCATCGGAATCACACCCTCACTCCAACAGTGACTGTGACAAACTTAGGGACCCTTGTGACTACACCAGGCCCATCTGAGTAATCCAGGATAATCTCCTCATCCCAGTATCCCTGACTCAACCGTATCTGGGCCATGTCCACGGACTCTTAAGTTCACGGAGCTTAGGGTGTGGGTGTCTTCATATCTGCCGACCTCAGTCCAAGGCAGGCGTTCCCCTGGGACATGCCGTGACTCAGGGGACTCCCAACGCTCCCGGCCAGTGGGGTGGCCTCTGGGCCCACCTTGTGTCATCTTTGTGATCACTGAGCAGCACCGCCTGGCAGCCGTGGGCTTAAGGCCCCGGGGAAGGACCTTCCCGGGAACTGGGGTCCCATGAGGCACAAGCAGAAAGACAGGACGGTCTTCTGGAGGCAGCATTTCTGCTGCTCTGTGAATCACATGAGGGAAAGAGCTGAAAGGGGTGGGTCTGAGGAGTGGCCACAGCTCCATGAGGGAGAGGAGGCTGGAGGCCCTGCGCGGCTCTGGTGGAGGGAAGCCGCGGGCAGCAAGGACATTCTGGACATAGAGGAGGGTCTCAGAAGAGGAGGAGAGACTCAGAGTGGGGTGCTGAGCCCTGGGGGCCTCCAAGACGCCAGGCCTCTGTCAGATTGATGGTGGGACAGACTCTTGCCGCAAAGCCTGGAGAGAGGGGTGGCAGGGGCGGGGCACTGTGGGGCGAGAAGCAGAGTGGCCCTCTGCAGGGTACGTGGGAACAGAATGGAGCTGGACGTGCCATAGTGGCAAGCAAGGGAGGCTCTCTGGGCACTGGGTGGCACCGAGGCTCGGCCTCCGCGGGACTAGCTCCTGGCCCAAAGTCCAGATCCTCTGAACACAGAGACATTCTTTAACATTTTAAAACTCCAGGAATCCAGAGTCGGCAGTGCTGGGATGGGCCAGCATCCTGCAACATCAGCCAGGATACCCCACCTGCCAGAGGAAAGCACCGTCCCATCCTCTCCTTCACAGAGCCCGCGAGGCCGTCCAAGGCCACACTGCCGGGTCACTGTGGTGTGGGCTGGCTCCCCTGCTCCTGCTTTGTCCCTGATGACCGCCTGAGAGGGGCAGAGCTAGAAGCAGGATCTGGACCCCCTGTTTCTTGCCAGGGCCTGCGAGCCTCCTCTCCAGCAGCTTCAGGAGCCCCATGCCTGGCTCAGCCGCTGTTTCTAGCAGCAAAGCGTCCGCCGGCCAGTTAACCTCCCTGAGCTGTGGCTCCCCCCACCCCGCCCCCGAGACTCGGCAACTCCCACCTCACAGAGGAAGCAGGATGTCCCTGAGCCCTCCCTTCCCCTCACCTTTCTCCTTCTCCTTACCAAGTTCAAATCACGCCAAACTGATCTTCCTGATCAGCCCAACTAATTTCCCGTCCTGGCAGTTTCCAAAGCAAAATGCCTTGTTGTTCGGGGGCCGCGGTCTGAGCTTCCTGTGGTCTTCCCGTGTGGGCCGCATAGCAGCAGGGGTGGGTGAGGAGTGGGGTCAGCCCGAGGACCCTGGCTGGCCCGGCCCATTGCAGTGGCACAAACAGCATAATGATTAACTCCCCGTCCAGTGCTGTCAGCCTCCCACGCACATTCATGAGATGCTAACCGCTCCGGCTTGCTCCGCAGAACTGGCCGCTCACATTACAAGAGGACCAACATACTTGGCTTCTGAGTCACTCACGGACACGATCTTTCATGCCTTTGCAGGGTGATCTCTCACCAGGAATCACGTATGATGTATGTGTCAACAACCCCTGTGCCAGCTTGACTTCCCTGGGCCTCTCGTGCACCGCTCCTGCCCCTGGGCTGTCTCTGCCTCTCCCCTCTCCCATCCTTGCCTCTAACTCAGATGCCCTGGTTCTCCTTGGGCACCGCAGCCCCCTCCTAGACAGCAGCCCACAGCCACAGCCCTTGACACCAGCACGGTCCTTCCCTTCCCCCACCGACTCCCTCTTAACACCCCTGAGTCCTAAAGGGACTCTGCATTTTCTCCCTCCTCAGGGGCGCCCGGCTGGTGTAACAGGGAAAGGCCACTCGCTCACCCTCATCGATCCCTCAATGAAGCGCAAATACTCTAGACCCTCTCAGCTCGCTCCTGTGCTTTTGCCTACATTTGGGCTTTGCAAGCTCCCCCAATGGGTGGCCCCAAACTTCAATCCCTCCTCTGGTTCTCAAGACCTTGCAGCATCGGGGTCCAGCGGGATGCGGACAGCAGCCCACACCTCTTCAGCCTCCCCCGTGAACCTAATACGGAACTGTTCGAGGACACAGCCAAAGCGAGGTGAAAACTTGGTGTATTCCATTTCCCATGGCTACCGTGGCAAGTTCCTACACACCGGGTGGCCAAAACAAGAGATTTACTTTCTCTACAGTTCTAGAAATCCGAAATCGAGGTGTCAGCAGGGCTGTGCTCCCTCAGAAGGATCTAGAGCAGGATCCCTCCTTGCCTCTTAGCTTCTCTAGTTGCCAAGAACCTTTGAATTGAAGGCCAATCCCTCCAGTCTCTGCCTCATCACCACATGGGGCTCTCCTGACCTTCCCTGTGGACGTGTCCAATGACCCCTCTTGTTATAAAGACGCCCGCGGTTGGATTAGGACCACCACCATGACCTCCTCTTATTTCGGTTATATTTGCAAAAACTCTAGGCCCAAGGAAAAGTCACATTCACAGGTACCAGGGGTTAGGACCTGAACTTACCTTTTTGAGGGACACAGTTTCTTCCCGCAACACTAGTCCCATATCTGCCTAAGCCTAGTTTTCTTACCTTTAAGATAACACCACCCCCGACACCCTCCCCGCCCCACTCCCTACCAGGAGGGAAGGGTGAAAGCAAGAAGGTAGAGCCCAGATACTTCCTGGCACAGATTTCTCAACCTTTTTCCGGCAAAACCCACAAGACTATCTTGCAGGAATAACTGCGGGTCCACCAGCTGCTTCTCCTTCTTCCGTCTTTCTCTCTCCTGAAAATGTGTCAGAGTGAGAGTACACACTAGACAAAGCCTGGAATTGGTGCTTACTTATACATTTTTTTAAATTAAGGAATCATTGGCAAACTTGGCCACTTTACAAGGAATAACAATTTGCTTTGAAACATGGATTGTCCTGAAACAATCCAGAACCATCCGTTGGGGTAGAGCACAGAGTTACTCAACAAGCGTCTGGCCGCCCCACCTTCCACAGGGCCCACGGCAGCAGAGCGGTTCCTTGAGGACTCAGGTTTGGGGTTGGACGGTCCGGCCGAATCCCAACTCCCTGTGAGTTAGCCCCACCGCGGCAGGCCGGTTCCGTCAGCCATCTGAGCCTCGGTCTCTGGCCCATGAAACACGAGCACCCACGTCGTGGCGTGGAGTCTGCTTGGGAGACAGGATGCACCTGCAGACACTGGGCGCCGACCCGTCTGCTGCTGGAGTTGGGCAATCCCTTCCCTGCCTGGTGGAGACCCCCGCACGGAGCCTGAGGTCGAGGCCAGAGGTCTTCTGTTCAGTACTTGAAGGCCTTGCTCAACTCAACAAGAGGCCATTGGCTGAGTGTTTGCCGGGCCCTTGGGGGCTCCAAAAAGCCACCTGGGGTCAAGTCTCTGCAGAAGCTGGAGATCAGGGACTGGGATCTCAGAAGACTCTGAGCTGTGGTCAGAGCCGACACCCAGCTAAACAGAGGAAATGGCTCCCTGAGGGCCCCTTGTCTCCCAGACATGCCTCCCTCCCCCACCGCTGCTCAGAGGGTACTGAGATTTCGGGGAGCCCTACAGTAGAAACCCTGCCCTGGGATTCCTAGTCAGGCCATGACTGCAAACATGTTTCTAACTCCAGTGAATTCAAACTGATTTGTTCTGAAAATGCCATGGGAGGATTTGAGAATTCTAAGACTCCGGGTGGTTGGGAATTCAGACCAGCTGCCTTGGGCCCTCTGCGCCCTCCACGGGTGCTCCCGCCTCACCCTCCAGGGTCTCTCTGTGCCCAGTTGGCCTCCCAGGGTCCCCCGGCCTCCAGGGTTCCTCTGCCCAGATTCCCTGTTTTTAAAGCATGTTAGAGACAAAGCTGCTAACTTCTTCCTTCCTTTACTGCATTCTCCTCCCTCGCATTCCTAAAATGCTCTCCGCATCTCCGAGGCCCGCATTGCTTCTGTTGACACTGCACGAAATGGGAGGCTTTGGGGAAAATTGATAAGAACAGACGCAGGGAGGAGAGAGGAGAACATCTTGATTGGACGTTGACGTGTGGCCAGTGGGAAATGGTCCCGGAGCACAGGGCGCGTGAGCCAGAATCGCGGCTGCGCAAGTTACCGACCTCCTCCTCCGGCACCGTTCATTCGGCGTCTCCGTGTCCCGATCTTTCCTGCGTGGTCCCGTCCACTTCATTAGCCGCGTGTTGCTTTCTCCATGCGGGCAGGGCTGGGTCTTGTTTTGTTGCTGAAAGAGTTTGTTCCCTTTTATGAAAAAAAAAAAGTTTTTCTTGCTCTGTAGATGGGAAAGTGAACAGACACAGTAAAAGCAGGTTTCTGAACAGGGAGAGAGGCAGGAGCACATTTCAAGTTGGTTTCCCTACAGTGACCCCCCCACCCCACCCCATCCCGGACAGGGAGGCCCAAGAGGAAACTTGTCCTCTCAGGAGGGGAACAGCTCGGCTGGCTTTTTGCACCTAAGAACATGGCCACTGCTGCTTTCTGCCTGGAGGTGTCTGGCCTGCTGAGCCCTGGTCAGTGACCAGGGAACTGACACAGGAGTCCCCCAAAGGCGCAGGAAGGGCCTCTGCCTCTGAGTGCCCAAGTGCCCCCTTAGTGGGGTGGCGTCCCTCACAGCACGGATTCCTAGCAGTAACAGACAGCTTCTAGGGGCCCAGGCAGGTTCTGGAAACTGATTGCCTTCTGCTCCTCACTGACCAGTGTTAAACCAGAGATGCTGATTTTTTGTCCCGTATTCCTGAATTCAGAATCAAAGAACTGACAGGCTAGAGCCTCAGGGTCTATGGGAAAAGGGATCCTCAGCTCGGGTACCCCCACACACTACAGCTTCTCTGCCCCCCCAAGACCGTGAAGTCCCCTCCTCAGTAAAGACTTTCCAGGGCTCAAGCAATCATGGGAAAACCTGACCCCACACCCCCTTTCCCTCCCTCTCTGCACACTCCCCTTCTGTGGGTACAGACACACCTCCCTGAAGGGGTCCCCTAGAAAATGTCTCCCGGAATCAGACCCCTCTGAAGCCTCCAGGGGCTCCAAAGCCTGGCTTTTAAAGCTCTCCGAAAACTGGAGGCCAGTAATCTAACACTCCTTTCTGATAAGAGCCCCTGCCCTGTCCTTTGCCCAAATACAATGGTCTTCATTAGCTTTCAGTTGGGGCTTTGAACTCCACACAAAACCCTGGCCTCCCCGCCCTGCCCTGCCTGCCCGCTGGAGCCGGCCTGGGGCCCCCGCTGCCCAGTCAGCATTTCCTTTGTTGCCGCCTCTGAAGGTGTTTATAATGGAGCCTTTTTTCTGCCCCATGAGCAGCCCCATAGGTGAAATCTCAGCCGTGTATGATGTTCTGCTTCCCAAACACCGATGTCCGAGCCGAGGGTAAGCTGCTTTCAAACAGGACCAGGTTCCAGCGGTCGGGAGGGGACAGGTGAGCTGGGAGGAGGGCCCATGAGCACTCTGAAAGGCCAGTGGGAAAGAGGCTGGGGAAGGGGGCCACCGGCACCGTTTCTCCCTCTGGCCCCAACCCACCTACAAGCTACAGGCCGTGTTCCAAAAAATCACCAGGAAGTTGCATGACTCACAGGTAAAATACCCTTGTCCCTCAGAAGCCGGGCGTAGACGTCCTGGGGGTCCCATTCAGCCACAGAATTTGATTTGTCCTTGGACTTGCTGGCCTCTCTCACTCATGATGTCATCGTGCCTGCCAAATCCCAGAAAGGGGGTGGTGTGGCTCCAGGGGGAAGAGGGGCCAGACAGAGTCCCCCCTCCCCTCTAGACTCGGGGAACATGGGAAGGGGTGCAGGGCGGGGACCCGCTTTCAGTTAAGGCTCACCCCTCCCTGCCTGGGCCCCTCCACCCGCAGGCCTCCACTTTCCCTCCGCTCTCCCTCCTGCTCTCTCCTCGCTCCCTGCGGCCTGGCCCCGGGGCCGGTTTGCTCAGTGCAGGAGAGGAGCAGCAGGTGCATGGACGATGGCCCTGCCCCAGGCGGCCGAGGGACAGCAGGCACTACGAGCGCTGCCTCCGTGGACATTTCCTCCTCAGTGAGATGCAACACTGAGGCCCTAGGTCAGCTCGAAAGGTCTCCTGTGCACGCGTGTGCATTTTTTTAAAGAAATTCTTGAGAACCCAAATGAATACCTACCCGATAGACTTTCAGGCCACACCGTGGGGCGTGATGACGTCACGTGGGAGCATGATGACGTCATCTGGGGCTTGATGCGGTCTGGTAAGGGGCGCGATGACATCGCACAGTTTCGAAGAAGATACTCTGAAGCCCGCCACTCCATAACACGCCCTCCTCAGCTGTCCCTGGGTTTCCCCGCCGCTCCCCCATCCCACCACCGCACACCCCCCCACACACCCCCACCCCCCACGCCCATCCCCCCCACCACCACACACATTGCAAAGCCCCAGGCCTTACCTGATGCTTCTTAGGTTGGCGCTACCCCAGCATCCTCAGCAGAGGAGGCTAGAGCGGCCAGAGTGGCTGCCTGTAAGTCCGTGCGCTGTCCCAGCTGGGACCGCCGGGTTCTGCGAACCCCCGGATGCCCAAGCCCCAGATCCGCACACAGCTGAGGAGGCACCCCTCCCCATGGCCTGGGTTGGGGGGCACCACGTACTGGTCTAATCAGTGCAACCAGCCCGACGAAGAACTGTTCAGAACTCGCAGAGTCCCCCTCCACCCATCGAATTGACCCAGTTCCCTCCCTGAGCTCCGGTCCAAGCCAGTAAGCGTCCTGTAGCATCATCCCAACAGGGCCGTGCTACCTGCGGAAGGCCGCTAGGACATCCCTGGGTCTCCTCCAGAGCCGCACACGCTGTAGTGACGGCAAACCCGGGCCGGGGAGGAAGACCTGGGCCACGACCCAATTAAATTCTCCACAGCAGACTTTCTCTAGGTTTTCTTAGTAGAAAAGTACATACAATGTGTGTATAACACGTATTTCCTAAGTGAAGGCTTATCCTCCTATATACGGGCAACTTTTCAGCAAGTCATTAACCCAAAACGCAAGGGGTTCCTGCAGGGATCGTGGAGCATAATTTAAAGCATGGCAGGGCCTCACCGGGACATCTTACGAGAGGTCAGACCAGGCAGCCGCCGTCCTCTATCAGCAGCGCCCAATCTGCCCACGGAGCTAAGCACACCCAAGCCTCGCCCTAGAGCCTGGCACGTGGGCGTCCGGCTCTGAGCTGGTCCTTCCAGCTATAGATTGTTCCAGCTTTTTCCTCCTCCTCTCCCTGCCCCCCGCGGCCCAATAGCCTGAACTCGAGAACGTCACAGGGAAAGACCCTGAGAACAACAGCCTTGCCCATCATCTCCCAAGTCCTCAGCACCATCACCAGAGCAGCAGGCGGTCCCCGGAGGCCCCGTGCCCCACCAGCCTGCACCCTGGGCAGCTCCCATCGCCCCAGGGCTGGTGACTCGTCTGGTTCAGTGCTTCTCAGCCAGCGCGATTCTGGCCATCCCAGGGGAAGAAGGCTGCTCTTGGCATTTGAGGGGAGGCAGGGATGCTGCTGAGGGTCCCACAGCGCAGAGGCTAGCCCCCTGCAGCACAAAATGATCTGTTCTGGCTGTGGAGATGAGGCAAGGTGGACGCACCTGATCCCAAAGGGAACCACATCAGGCTCAGACCGTGGATCCAGGACTCTGAGAGCCCTCGTGCCTGGGGGGCTGGGGACAGACCCTCCCAGCCGCTGGTCTGCCGGAGAGGTGAGAAGCTTGGGCTACCGCTGCCGCTGGCAGGGCTCTTTCCACCCCTTCCTCTCTTAGACAGAAAACCTCCTGCTTCCACAGCTTTAAATTAGGAATATTTGGTGGCATGATCATGTATGTTTCAAACCAAACAGAAATTTCCTGTTCCCCGGCGCAAAATAAAATTCAACTTTATAAAAGGGCCTGTAAAATCTCATAATCAAGCCCATTAGCCAAGCAAAATGCTTCACTTTGATTCTGCGGTGTTTAGCTTTCTTTTCTTAGCACTGCCTCATTAGCCCGCTTCTCCAGCCTGCTTCTCAAAATTGCTTAAAAAGAAAACACACGACTTGAAAGGACAAGATATGAGGGAAACACCCCTCCTCCTTCCAACGTGGAGGCTTTGGGGGAGCGGGAAGGTGGGGGCACCAGGAAAGGCCACAGGGCCCCAGACGCCGCGCCTTGCTCCGGCGTGGGGGATCTTCTCCTGCATTTTTGCTCCCTGGCCTCGTGGCCGGCCTCGCTAATTTCCAGCTCTTTGCCGCTTCAGAAGACCAGATTTTCTTGATTAATAACAAAAGGTTTTGTTGGGCTCGGAGCTGCTTCCCACCATCTCTATGCAAACCCGGGCAACACAAACTGTGTACATTAGCATTTCAAGGCACTTCCTACTAGGGACAGCCAGAAAAGCCCCTCTTGGTGGGTAAAATCCATTTTGTCCTCTCTTGTGACATCTGTTCGAACTTTTAAAGCCAGAAAGGAAACTAGATAATGCCAGAGGCTTTGATTTACAGCCCCGGCCCTTCGCACACCGCGCGCTCTCTAAGCACCAACCCTTCCCGGCCTCACGCGTGTTCCCTGCACTGGGGGGAGGGACCGGGGGCCGGGGGGAGACCTCCGGAAGACCTTCTGGGCTTCTTCAGACTTGTCGATGTCTTTTTCCCGATTTCTTAATGACCCCGCCAACAGCTCCCAAAACTCCCAAAGCCGCCAATCTTAAAACGCCACGTTTTTTCCAAAGAAAATGTAAATGTTGATGGGCGCCCTGCCCCTGAGCTCCTTGTCTCTTCCCCTCCGACGCTGCGCAGGCTTTAGGGGCACGAGGAAATGGAGACACTCGCTCAGGCAGTTGAAATACGGCCACCGAGGTAGAGGAAAAGCCCCACAAGCGATGGGATAAAAAGGGAAAGACAGAAGCCCATCAGATGGCCGCCGCCTCCTCCCATCTGCGCCCTGAGCTCTGGGGTCCCTCACACTGGTCAGCCCCGAGACAAAGCTGAAGGCAGATTCCAGCCGGTTTCCCATTCACTATTCATTGGGGTCCGTCCGCTCCACATGCATTCAGCCAACTGCTGTGTTCTCCCAGGATTGGCATGATAATGAAGCCACGGCGCTGCTCTCTGAAAAGACCGCCTTTTCACCCCATTGAGGTCCGAAAATTATCTCATAACATCACAACATCTGTGCACAGGGCTCCTGCCTTTTGGAGCTGGGCATCCTCATGCATTCCAGCCTCCCAGGGGCTCCCCGTCCCACTCCTTCCCCCCGGCCTGAACTGCGGTCTGGATGCTGAGTCCCCCCCCAAAATTGCTGTTTGATCATTTCTGGGATATTCAAGGTGGGCTGCAGAGGTAAAGTCTAGCCCTGGAAGTTGCTGTCCGAGAGCCTTATAATTAACCGGGTAAGGAAGTCACACCAATAGCAGGGGTGCCTGGTGGGGGGACAGGGAGGAAGGAGAAGTTAGGAATGCATTTTGTTGAGACTCTAGCAAATGACATTTGCTCAACTAATAAGTATATCTGAACTTTATTTAAACTGGCCCAGGTCAATAAAATCTAAGGGGAACTGGTGAGGTTGGGGGGATTATAGACAGACTAGACCATCTGCAACTTATATGTGTTCTGCCTGATACAATGATTTCATTTAATTTGATTTGACATTTAAGAGGCTTTTTTGGAAGAGAAAATGAATATTTCTATATTCTATTTGCAATAACCTCACCTGACTCCACACACAGCCAAGAAGAATAAATGTCACATTTGTGGCAAACAGTCGTGGGCCCTCTTGGAGGCGGCGCCTAGAGGCGGCAAGCCGAGGGCCCTCAGTGAATGTTCCAGGGGCCGATCTGAGGGCCCACGCAGGCTCTGAGTGCTCGGGTTGATTTTGTTTTGTTTTTTTCCCTGTGTCCAAATTCAAGTGATGTCTTGGGTAGAATGTTCCTGACCACGTATGAGAGAGACAGAGGGCGGCTTGTGCAAACAGGCAGCCAGGAAGCCAGACGCGCAGAGACACGAGGCCAACGTGACCCCAGCCCCTCACTGATGCCCCGTTCTCTCTTCAATACTTTTCAAAAGCCCTTAGGTCAAGTTCGAACTGTTCTGAAATCACAAGACCTGGAAATGCACTGTGACAGATAATTTTCCTTCGGCCATCCTTGAAAGAAAAAAGCTATCTGCTTGCTGACCTCTGGGGGTCACAGGCTCAGGAGACAAGAAAACAGGAGGCAGAGGCCCCGGGTGGTGACAGTACTCCTCTGGGCCTCTGCCCAGAGCCTGGGGATGAGATCCACAGGATGCATCTCGGAAACATCTCCGAACTGGGCCCCCGCTCATCCCCTAGTCACCAGCTGGGCTCACCTGGGAAACCACACCGGCCCCCTAAAACCAGATTTCCTGAACCAGCCGTCCCCCGATTCAGCCTCCACTGGGCAGCCCAGCCAGACCCCCGAAGTCGTGCCCAGCATACTCACAGCCTGACCGGCACCTGGATCTCACACCTCCAGCCCCCAGAACTGTCCAAGATTCCTCGCTGTTACACAAGCCCAGTCAGTAGTTACTTACAATAGATCCAGCAACCCCATACAGGGTCTGCAGGGCCGAGGGGATCTGCCTATGGGGGCCCATGCCCGAACTTCAAAACCATGTCCTGAGCACTTGGGACCCCAGAAATCCCACTGCAAGTGGCCCAGCAGGCCTCCCCACTGGGTGTGTCCCAGGCAGGAGGACCCCAAGACTAGAGGATCTGTAGTGGGCTGTGGGTCTGGAGTTTGGTTCAAGGACTGCTTGTCAGGCCCTTCATGACTACACAGACCCAAGGCCAGCAGAAAAAGGGTCAGGGGGGACTGTGGGCCAAGGGCCTCTGTTATCCCCTGGCCCTGGGCCCCAGGAGCATCAGAGGTGGGACTGCCTCTGTTAGTGGTTTGCCCTTCTCCTCAGGGCAAGAGTGTCAGGGCCGAGGGAGGGTCCGTGGCAGCCTGTCCTGGGCCTCAGACGTTCTTCCCAGGGTGACAGGGACCTGCAGATCCAGAGGAATATTCTCATTCCCTGCTTCCCTAACTCTCTCCCGCTGTGTATTACTTAACCAGGACTTGCTTTCCCTCACAATGGAGCTGTGCCCTCACGCAAACAAGCTATTGTGGTCATGGCCTGCCAAAGGCCTTCAGGACACCACCTGATAGTCTGCAGCC